GACTCTTTCTGGGGTATTTATCAAAAAATAGCTCTGTTAGAAGAGATGAACAGGAAATCATCTTTTAGTGTCTGTTTGTCCAGAATTCACCTGACCAGAGGTTATTGTGCGTCTAAAGAAGATCAAACCACAGCAGGTTTCAGTTTGACTCGCGTTGAGTTGCTAATAATCACACCTCTGACAAAGTGAGATAGCTGACAGTTTCAACTCTGTTTTTTTTTCCATTAATTACCTCTGCATGATTACAAACCCTTTATTAAATCTATTATTAAAAGATTCATTACATTATGACATAAGATTGTCACTGCATTACTGATTTTGCATACAGCATGTGTTCAGAGTGTGTGGTTGTAAACTATACAAGGCTCTGTCTGTACACATTTGCGCTTTAAAATATATTTTGGTCTTTAAAAAGCACAGAATAGCACCTAAAAGCTGCAAAAGTTAATCCGTACCACCCCGATGACAGCTTTTGTACCTTTATTTCTGAGAGTGTGTCATGGAAGGACTCACAGACCAGATGAAGAAGCTGGGCTTCAGCGGATAATCACACTTTTTTTAAACACGCTTGCAAAAGTCAACACTCCAAAAGTCAAACACGCTTAAAGGAAATGGTTCACATTTTTGCTTCGTTCTTGTTGTGCTGGTGGCTTCCAATTGGTAAGTTATGAATGATTTATCAAATGACTTTTTCAGTTTCAGATTATTATCTGCTAAAGTTAAATACAGCATATGCATTTTTTTTTAATGCACATTGATTAAATTAATTATTGGTCACTATTCTTTAATTCACATCTCATTTTCCGGTGCCAGTTTTAAATTAATTTACAGTATACAATAATCTGAAACTATGGACCCTTTTCACAAGCATGTTATGACGTGTTTAACAGTCATCATTATCTTAACTCAATGAAAGTTTTTAATGTTTTAATTTATTTAAAAAAATAAAATAAAAAATGTATGAACATTTGCCGTCACGATCGCCTCACAGCAAGAAGGTCACTGGTTTGAACCTCGGGTGGGTCAGTTGGCATTTCTGTGTGAAGTGCAAAGACATGCAGTATAGGTGAATGGGATAAGCTAAATTGTCTGAAGTGTATGAGTGTGAATGGGTGTTAATGGATGTTTCCCAGTTATGGGTTGCAGCTGGAAGAGAATCCGCTGCGTAAAACATATGCAGGATAAGTTGGCGGTTCATTCTTCTGTGATGACCCCAGATTAATAAAGGGACTATGCCGAATAAATATTAATGGATTGAATGAGCATTTATGGATGTATTATGTCATCTTTGTGTCAAATTAGAAAAAATGAATTGCCACTTGCGCGAGGCGTTTTTAATGCAGCGTCTAAGGCAGGACAGTAAATTTGATGTTATTCTGTCTTCTGGCTGCAGTTATCAGTTTTCCTTTTTTCTGATAGTCTTGATAACACCATTGTGGCGTTTTTATTTTATTTATTATTATTTCAGCAAACAGGATTGTAAAAAAAAAAAAAAAAAAAAAAAAAAAAAAAGATTTGTTGTGCTTTACTATTCACTCTAAGTTTACCCAACTATGACAGAGTATGCCACTGAGAAACACGAAAATGTGAAAAGGGTCTATTAAATTAAATTTGATATATGCTTTTATCTTGAGTGACTTTAAGATGACAAAAGAAGAAATTAAATTAGTAAAAGAACAAAAATATGTTGGTGCTGCATAGTCTGTTGTGAATTTAAGTAAAGGAATGAAGATAGTTGCAAATATCGTTCATTCATTTTCCCTTGGCTTAGTCTCTTATTTATCAAGTGTCACCACAGTGGAATGAACCGCAAACTATGCCAGAATATGTTTTATACAGTAGATGCCTTTCCAGCCACAACGCAGTACTGGGAAACACCCATACACTCTCTCACTCTCCAAAAGGCCAATTTTGTTTACCTAATTCATCTATACACATGTCTTTGGACTGTTGGGAAAACTGCTTTGTTTTGTCCTTGCATATTTGGTGTAATATTATTATTATAAATTTATTGTAATCATTTTGTTTGTATTTATAAGTTTAACCAACGGCACTTAGAAATGTAACCACAAAAAAAAAAAAAAAAATCTTTTTGAGTTTACTGTGTGTATAAATGTACATTAGCTATTTACATGATAAAGTATGCTATAAATAAACAGGTTGTTTATAGTGTTGGCGCCAAATACCCAGTAGTGAAAAAGAAAGTATTTTTATCGCACTTTGCTAGGTAAATGTAAAATGTAAGAGGTATGTTAAAAAAAAACATGGTAGGGATTACCATGACACAGAGTTTCATTCTGAATTTTAAAATGAACACAATGTAAATGTTTTTATTGATTTATTTAACTTAAATGTCACATTTAATACGATTGGACCAATGAGATTGGTATGTGAGTGCAAGTAATGATTGGTGGTTTTTAAGAACACACATTTGTATAATGACATGATCTATAGTATTTCAATGTTAAGGTCGTTAATGAGGACGAGCCTCGTGTCCTTAGGGCTCAATTTTCCTTTAAACCTCTTTATAAAAATAATAATAATAATAATATTCGCTGACGATACTGAACTATACCTTTCATTCGTACCTGCTTTATTTAATCTTTTTGAATTTTATAAAATGATTTATGATTCTGTTTTTCGAATCAGCTATTAATGTACCATTATTATACTACTACATTACATCTAAAGTGCTTTGAGCGTTAAGAAAGCATTAAATACAATGCAACAAATTATTCTACTATTATTATTATTATTATTATTATTATTATGAAGTTTGTTGGACTGAACAGGATTCATGTAAACACCTTATTTCTATATTTCTAAGCTATTGCTATCAGATTGAAACTGGTGACTTTAACTGGTCATTAGGAATTAAAGCAAACATTCACTTACTTAAACAGACAGAAACACAAGTAACAGTTTGCAATATTAATCTTTACATTGGCTGTTAGCTTTGATTATTTGACTCTTTCTGGGGTATTTATCAAAAAATAGCTCTGTTAGAAGAGATAAACAGGAAATCATCTTTTAGTGTCTGTTTGTCCAGAATTCACCTGACCAGAGGTTATTGTGCGTCTAAAGAAGATCAAACCACAGCAGGTTTCAGTTTGACTCGCGTTGAGTTGCCAATAATCACACCTCTGACAAAGTGAGATAGCTGACAGTTTCAACTCTGTTTTTTTTTCCATTAATTACCTCTGCATGATTACAAACCCTTTATTAAATCTATTATTAAAAGATTCATTACATTATGACATAAGATTGTCACTGCATTACTGATTTTGCATACAGCATGTGTTCAGAGTGTGTGGTTGTAAACTATACAAGGCTCTGTCTGTACACATTTGCGCTTTAAAATATATTTCGGTCTTTAAAAAGCACAGAATAGCACCTAAAAGCTGCAAAAGTTAATCCGTACCACCCCGATGACAGCTTTTGTACCTTTATTTCTGAGAGTGTGTTGTGGGAGGACTCACAGACCAGATGAAGAAGCTGGGCTTCAGCGGATAATCACACTTTACAAACACGCTTGCAAAAGTCAACACTCCAAAAGTCAAACACGCTTAAAGGAAATGGTTCACATTTTTGCTTCGTTCTTGTTGTGCTGGTGGCTTCCAATTGGTAAGTTATTAATGATTTATCAAAAGACATTTTCAGTTTCAGATTATTATCTGCTAAAGTTAAATACAGCATATGCATTTTCTTTTAAATGCACATTGATTAAATTAATTATTGGTCACTCTTCCTTAAATTCACATCTCATTTTCCGGTGCCAGTTTTAAATTAATTTACAGTACACATTAATCTGAAACTATGGAGCCTTTTCACAAGCATGTTATGATGTGTTTAACAGTCATCATAATCTTAACTCAATGAAAGTTTTTAATGTTTTAATTTATTTTTAAAAAATTCACAATCGCCTCACAGCAAGAAGGTCACTGGTTTGAACCTCAGGTGGGTCAGTTGGCATTTCTGTGTGAAGTGCAAAGACATGCAGTATAGGTGAATGGGATAAGCTAAATTGTCTGAAGTGTATGAGTGTGAATGGGTGTTAATGGATGTTTCCCAGTTATGGGTTGCAGCTGGAAGAGAATCCGCTGCGTAAAACATATGCAGGATAAGTTGGCGGTTCATTCTTCTGTGATGACCCCAGATTAATAAAGGGACTATGCCGAATAAATATTAATGGATTGAATGAGCATTTATGGATGTATTATGTCATCTTTGTGTCAAATTAGAAAAAACGAATTGCCACTTGCGCGAGGCGTTTTTAATGCAGCGTCTAAGGCAGGACAGTAAATTTGATGTTATTCTGTCTTCTGGCTGCAGTTATCAGTTTTCCTTTTTTCTGATAGTCTTGATAACACCATTGTGGCGTTTTTATTTTATTTATTATTATTTCAGCAAACAGGATTGTATAAAAAAATAAAAAATAAAAAAAATAAAAAAAAGATTTGTTGTGCTTTACTATTCACTCTAAGTTTACCCAACTATGACAGAGTATGCCACTGAGAAACACAAAAATGTGAAAAGGGTCTATTAAATTAAATTTTCTGATATATGCTTTTATCTTGAGTGACTTAAAGATTACAAAAAAAGAAATTAAATTAGTAAAAGAACAAAAATATGTTGGTGCTGCATAGTCTGTTGTGAATTTAAGTAAAGGAATGAAGATAGTTGCAAATATCGTTCATTCATTTTCCCTTGGCTTAGTCTCTTATTTATCAAGTGTCACCACAGTGGAATGAACCGCAAACTATGCCAGAATATGTTTTATACAGTAGATGCCTTTCCAGCCACAACGCAGTACTGGGAAACACCCATACACTCTCTCACTCTCCAAAAGGCCAATTTTGTTTACCTAATTCATCTATACACATGTCTTTGGACTGTTGGGAAAATTTAAGCACCCGGAGGAAACCCAGGCAGAGGTCTGCACAGGACTGATTTTTAAAAATCCTGCTCTGGGTAGGTTTTATTCCGCACCAGGCCGCTCACATTGTATATTCAGTCTTTGTTCACCCCTTGCCACTTAGAATATTTTTCTATTAAACTGTTCCTGCTAAATTTAGATCTGGTTTCCAAAATCTCACATTTAAATTGGATACTACCAAAATAGAGAGACAACAGATAAAGTGTAGGCTGTGCAAGGATTGTAGGCTAAATGTCAGTTTTATTTGCCCCTTTGTGATAAGTGCTACCTTAAACCTGAGCTTCCAGTCTTGTGATTGCTAAAGGGTAAAACATTGAGATATTATCACATCGCGCAAAGGGTAATTTCAATCTCAAGTATTCACTGAGATTCCAGTGTGTTTGTTGATCAATAAACTGTTGTAATGTAAAAGCCCCAGTCTGGTCCGAGTTTCTCCCCCCAAAAATCGTCAGTCTACAGCGATCGCTGATTGGCTTCTGTACTAGTAAGCGGGGCTTCATTCGCCATATTGACCGTTACACATTTCCTTATTCAAAACTATGCGAGTGACATGTCTCGTGTATTCTATAGTCTTTGGAAACATTACCAGATTTTTCATTTTCGGCTTGTTACATTTCAATGCCTTTAATGTAATATATTTGCATACATTTATCTGTTAATTAGGAGTACTCTAGATACTTAATCTGAGTGTAAAGTGGTTTCTGTCCTTCAGGTGTGCTTGCTAAGAAAGTAAAAGTGTCTGTGTCAGTGACTGAAGGAGATTCTGTTACTCTAAACTCTGGTGTTACTATAATACATTGGGAGAACATGCTGTGGAGTTTTGGAGCCCAAAACACTCTTATAGCTAAAATCAGCATTAAGGAGCAAATCTTCTCCACATTTGATGGCACTGACAGATTCAGAGACAGACTTAAGATGGACAGACAGACTGGATCTCTGACCATCACAAACATCACATCTGAAAATGCGGGAATTTATAATCTTGATATAAGCGGAAAAAAATGGCCATCAAAAATATTCAATGTTTCTGTTCATGGCGAGTAAAGTTCTCTAATCCTTCACAAATTCTTCAACAATTTACACTCAAACTCTGTACTGAAAATCTCTATTCTCATGTTTTCCAGCACGTCTGCTTGTTCCTGCCCTCATCTTCAACTCTTCTCTGTGTTCATCATCCCAGTATAATTATTCAGTGTTGTGTTCAGTGGTGAATGTGAGTGCTGCGAGTCTCTCCTGGTACAAAGGAAACAGTGTATTGTCCAGCATCAGTGAGTCTGATCTCAGCATCAGTCTCTCTCTACCTCTGGAGGTGGAATATCAGGATAACAACACCTACAGCTGTGTGATCAACAACACCATCAGCAACCAGACCACATATCTGGACATCAACACACTGTGCCAGCCGTGCGAAGGTACAATATGCAGTTAATTTACTGACCTGTCCTGTGATATAGATCCGACCAACACATTCACTTCTATTTCTTCTGGTCCTCCGGTGTCAGGTTCTCAGATAGTTTTGATATCTGCTGCTGCTGGATCTCTGATGACTTTTGTTGGAGTCGGGATCTTCTGGATCTGCTGGAAATGTGGAAACTCTGATCAAAAAGGCAAGTGTTACATCAGTGTTACATACATGATTCTTAAACCAGTGATAAACCCACACGGAAAGAAAATATATGGCCTGTATATGCACCTCAATTTTGCCTATATGTGGCACATTTACACATGTGCATAAAGGTTCATATATATGCATATATCCTCATTTAGGACCTTTCCATGTGGAAATATTTTAATCAATTGATAGACAAAACTATTATTTAGCCCCTTATCGGTCAGCCCTCTTTTTGAATTCAGACTTGATCTATGCATATGATATATAGTTAATTAAAATATGTACAGGAACACATCCCAGTAAAGGGGTTAGTATGTTTTCATAGGTAAAGTACCTAAATATGTTAATAATGGAGATGACAAATGAAAAATTTTATTTATGATGCGCTTTTCTTAACCTCAAAGCTCTACAAAACATACAATAACTGTGACGAGCCAGCGGCTCAAACCCATGTTTCTGGTATGGTAGACCTACGTGCTACCGTTTAACAACAGGAAGAGGTGATGAACCAAGTTGCTAAGGTACAAGGTCTAGTTCAACAAAAGGTATTTATTTAGGAAATCCAAAATCATCAAAATAGCAGCCAGCCAAAAACACAGGAAGTCTACAAGACTGACTACAGCCAAGCAGGTAACAAACAAAGTTCTCCATAGAGCACAGAGACAAGAGCACATCAAACCCAAAAACCAAGTGACAAGTGAAGAAAAGAGGGTAAAATAAATAGGCTAGTCTACGACACAGCTGAACAAGATTAACACAAATGAACCCAAACAGAAAACACTGGGAAAAATAGCGACATCATGTGGAGATGAAAAACACCAATAGTTCAGAAGATGTCAATAACAAAAAAGAAAAAAAAATGCAGAGAATGACAAGCTTGCATAAAATCCCAGTAAGAAGCCAGAGTCATATCGCAATAATGAAACGATAAATTAGCAAAATGTTAGAAATTTTATAAAAGGGACTGAGCTAAATGCTTTGCTAAAAAGATGCGTCTTAAGAAGCTTGTCAAAACAGTCCAAAGAAACAGCTTCCTGATAGTTGTAGATAATGCATTCAATAATATTGTCGCACAATAAGAAAAAGCCCTACCTTCTATGGTTTTTAAGTCTACAGCATGGCTGATACAAAGCGAATCCACATGCAGAACGAAAACAGATATGCACAAATGTAATCAGGGCCCGGTTTTTCAAAAGTAATCCACTAGGATTTTGGATAAGGGATTGGATCAAATCTTGAAAATGGGTTTTTCAAAAGAAAAAACGGATTACCTAATCGGATTAGATCACGTAATCTAATCTTGGTTTTGATACGGATCAAACCTTTACTTTGGGTTTTTCAGACATTTTTTGTAGGATTTGGATCACTTTGATCCAAAAAACCTGGATTAAACTGATCCCATCAGAAGGGTGGATTTAGTGTGGATTTTATGCCCAAAATGTAATGAAAACTTAAAAAATGTATTAAATAATACTATTTTTGGATCATGCAGAATCTTACGAGATATACTATTTATTAATAAGGTTTTAATTTTATTTGTTCATCTGTCAGGCTATAGTGATTATTGGCTTCAACATATTTAGGCTTTCAGTATAGGCCTACGGCAAACAGCTGTCAAAATTGACCAGAAACAATACATTTTATTCTGTCACTAATTTATATATATATTCATCACAATAAAAAATATATTTGTTTTTAGAATATTTATTAATGATGCATGCAATGATTACAAAATAACCAAGAAAATGCAAAGAACGGCAATCACTGATTTTTGAAATCACCTTCAACAACTGCAAAAAGAGACTGAAAGGGCAGAAGCACAGCTTCATCTGGCCGAGGAACAACTTACTCTGACCAAACTGCAGCAAACCAAGACCACATTTGAGATTCACCTCCTAAAGGCTGCGCTCAGACAAGCTACTCTCTCCACATCAGATGAGGAAGTCTGAGTTTTTGACATTGACATTTTTTTTTTATTTACATCTATATTTGTAACTTATTAAAAATACCTCAATGTACAGTGTTTGTGTTGTAGGTCTCAGATAAACGGACTGCTGGAACAGGATGGGGTGGGCTTTTTATTGTTTTTTTTTTTTTAAATGTGTGTTTTCATTTCTAATAAAAATTAAGTTATATTTACCCCACACTGGCTATTCTACTTGTTGCTCTTTTCATAGGCCTGTCTATCCATCTACATTGTGTTTGAGCACTGGTAATCCAGATTTAGTGATCCTGAAAAGTTCCTATCCTGATCAGATTGATCCAATCCAATGTTGCTTTGAAAAACTGGCTCAAAAAGTAAGCTGGATTACGTGATCACGAATCGCAAAAACAGGATTACTAAATCCGGATCAGTTTTATCCAGATTAAACCTTTTGAAAAACCGGGCCCTGGAGCTTACCTATTTACTGATCACACACACAAAATACTGATTATGTGTTAAACATTTTACTCTACTATGGTAAATGTTTTATATGCAAGTATAAAAATGTGCTAATGTCAAATTTAATTAATGCCATTTTATTATCAAAATGTAAGGAATAATTGATGACAGACCATGGAATTATTACTAAAATAATGCACAAGCACGGTGGTGATAGACATAATACGAAGCAGATGCAAGGCATTATTTTCCAATAAAAACAGATTTGAGTAAATTATTCCAGTTGTTCTCATCCCCACAGCTAAAGATAGTGTTCAGACGTTGTATTTAGGACATTTGCCAGGTTTTTGTACTCAATCTGCTCCTGTGTATAGGACTAGCTTCTTTCACATCTCATCAAAAGCCTTCTGTTGTGTTTTGATGTGTTGTAGCTGTGAAATAACTGTCTGTGTGGGTCCTAATGCCCCAGTATATTGACTCTATGCACCATCTTTCATATAAGATGTTAAACTGAGGTCCCGACTCTCTTATAAAATCACTTTGAAAAAAAAAAGTAGGGGTTAAACCCCGGTGGTCTGGCGATCTGTACCTCCTCAAAATGTGCTACCGGTAGCTTAATCTGTCCTGTTTCACCAAATCAGGGTTAGCACATCATTCAAATGTCTATCAGAATGAACTAGCACATTAAATAAGTATGTAAAAACAGGGGTAGCACATACTGTCAGCTTCAAATATCCATCGAAATTTACTACTACTCTGTCGAACAATGTTGAAAAAGGTGTAGCAACTTCAAATGTTTATCAGAGGTAACTACTGCCTTAATTATTTTTTTCTTAGTTTTATATTTAATTTGTTTATTAGTGGTAGTTCATTCCGATTGACATTTAAAGCTGACAAAATGTGCTAACCCTGTTTATACACCCTTTCTTTAAGGAGGTAGTTCATTCTGACATTTGAAGCTGAAAAGATAAAGAGCTTTTTCGATGAAATATGACAGATTGAGCTACCGGTAGCACATTCTTAGGTGGTAGCACAATCTTCAGAACACTGGCGTTCTGGCCAAAATTTGCCCACTGGCCTCTGCCCAGTATGGCCTCCTAACCATCCCCATATCATAATTGGTTTCATCACTCTGTCTCCTCTCCACCAATCAGCTGATGTGTGGTGTGCGGTCTGGAACCATATGCTGTACACTGTTGGTGGATGAGGAGATTCCCTCTAATGTGTATATGGCTTTGAGTGTCTAAGCGCTACATAAATGGACTTATTATTACACAGCAGCTTAGAATGTTTATCATTAGCCAATCAGAATCAATTATTCAAACGACCTGTAGTATACATGTAATAAAATAGCACACACTGTATGTTGTGACGACTGAACTAGCTGAGTTTTGTCATTTAAAATCCATTTCTGTTGTTGAAACAGTTCAGCCGAATGAAGATGAGCTCACTTTTGCTGCTATGTTACATCAGCCATCGTTCTGTGAAAGAAACTCACAATCATGGGTAAGATCATTTACTACCAATTTAGGAGTTAGTTGCATAATTTCAGCAGTGAAGTAGATGTGTGCATTATTATTATTTTCTGTTTTATCTACTGAAGCAAAAACTCAAGTCTTCACTAAATTATGATGTTTTCCTTTCTTTATTCTTTTATTTTACAGAAAGCTGATGAGGTGGCTCATGTAGAGTATGTGATGCTTGGTGACCATGAGATGATGAACAAACCAGTATTTTCTTAAGTACTAAATCCAGAGGTGTCGTCACTTTTACATGGAAATTATGACAACTTTAGAGGCTGAGTCTATAACATTAATTATTAAGTCTATAACATTAATTAATTCAGTTTGGTTAAATACACATAATAATAATAATAATAATAATAATAATAATAATAATAACCCGTATTGTAATCCAAGTGTGTTAAATAAATTCTTTTAAAAGGTACTGTTGAATAAACACTGGCTGTATATTTCAAAATACTAAAGTTGAGTCATTATCAATTTTTAAATCTTTCTTCACTGATCTGCAGATGAACGAAAATTATTTATCTAATAAATGTCGCCATCAAGTGAATCAACTGTATCACTCTTTCACTCCTGGGCTGTATCTGAAATCGCCCCCTATATACTTAAATGGAGATTAAGCGCACTATTTTTTAAAAGGAGACATTTTAGTGGTGTCCGAAACCATAGCATGTTATATAGTGTTCTCAATCAACCCCACAATGTAAAGTAATAACGAGTCTGCAACCAGGGTATAATCAAAAGCTAGAAAATCCCCTAATGCAGTACACACATTTGACCACAAGATGACATCTGAAGCACAATTCCATAGGTCTGTGGTTAAAAAAAGAAACTTAATGTAACGTTTGTATAGCCTACCTGACTGAAATCAAAAGTCTTTATTTCATTGCTAATAAACAGCTCGCAAGTGTAAAAATAATCATAATCAGAGCCCAAGAACTGCTGATGTATTTTCACACCTATAAAAGACTGGGACGTTAAACATTTAACAAATTTATTCATAATTTAATCGTTTTAGATTCATATTCAGCCCAGGTTGATGGTAATAATGTTGTGTATTGTCTGGTTGTGTAAGAATTTGTACAGAGTAAGGTTGACTCATTCAACAAACCACCAGAGGGAGCCCTCTCTGTCACACCCGGAGAGACGGATCCAAACGCAAATGCTGTTAACACAAAAGGATTTTATTAACTTTTCAAAACAAATGACGAGCCAAGGCTCGTGACTCAACTGAAAATGAAACCGCTCGGCGGGAGCGAAAGGCAACTCGGCAACAGTGTCCAAATCAGCGGGCGTGAGAGAGGTCAGGCAGGCGAGCATCGATCGGGAGGCAGATGGGATAACGGAGGAAAGGCAAGTTCAGCGTCGGACAGGCGAAGTCGAAGGTAGGTGGCTGGCCGGGGAGAATCCAAAATGAAACAGAAAAAACACAGGCAACCGAGCAAAAACTGGGCAGAAGAGAAAAACAGAATCAGAACATGAAGTAATGCACGACAATGACAGGAATCAAGATAACGCAGCGAGATAGCCTGAATAATGACAGGACACACTAGCGACCAGAAAGTGGGAAAAGGAGAGCTTAAATAGCAAGGAAATTAACGGAGACCAGTAACAGGTGCAGCAAGCCGTG